TTTTTTTGTTTTTTGAGACGGAGTCTCCCTCTGTCGCCCAGGCTGGAGTGCAGTGGCGCCATCTCGGCTCACTGCAAGCTCCGCCTCTCGGGTTCACGCCATTCTCCTGCCTCAGCCTCTTGAGTAGCTGGGACTACAGGCGCCTGCCACCGCGCCCGGCTAATTTTTTGTATTTTTAGTAGAGACAGGGTTTCACCGTGGTCTCGATCTCCTGACCTTGTGATCCACCCGCCTCGGCCTCCCAAAGTGCTGGGATTACAGGCTTGAGCCACCGTGCCCGGCCATAAGAGATGATAAGTCTATAAACCTGCAAAATTGCAAAAGTTTGCAATCAATATTTTAAAATTGATATTTAAATTGATATCTAAAATAAAATTTGATATTCAAGTTTGTTAGGCATTGTCTGGTGTCCATAACTTTCTATTACAACTTTCATAATCAGGAATAAAGGGACTCAATTATTCTTCAATCTTACATTGTCTCTATTAAAGAGTTGTTTTAGGATTAGTAAATAAAAGATGTGAGCACATAAAAGTTTAAAAACAGTACTTATAAAGCATATATACAAAACACTTTGTCTAAATGAAAAATTCTAGGGTTCCACACAATTTGCTTAATCATCTTGAAACATGAATAAGAACAAGTGAACTAAGAGCAGTTGTGAAAGCATTTGTGTTAGCTACTAAAGGAACATTACCAAACTGAATGGCCAAGGTAATAATTTGTGCTATAATTCGTTGAATAAATTAAAAAATACAAAGAACATAGAATGCACCAAAAGCTATCTTGGGAACACAAAGAACAATGATAAGCATGACTAAGTAAAATTGCTTTCTATATCAGATTTTTCCCTCCCTCCCTCTCTCTCTCTTTCTTTCTTTCTTCCCTTTCTTCCTTTCTTTCTTTCGCCATAATCCCTCAGTAAGAAATACACCACAGTTAATGATATAAAACTCAGGTTTTTTTCCCCAAGTCCAGGATAAAAAGACAGATATCTGTTCTTACCACATTTATTCAATTTTGTCCTGGAGTATGGATTGTTGTATGTATAGGTAAATAGACATGGGATAGTATAATGCCCAAAAAGACTATACATAGGTGGTTGATTTATTTTCAGCAAAAGTGCCAAAGCAACCAAATTTGAAAAGTAAAGTGTTTTCAACAAATGGTACTGAAACAATTAAATATCTGTATGAAAAAGAAGGAAAACAAAAAACAACCTTTCACGACCTCTTTCACACTTAGGCAAACCTTATTTTGAGAGTGACCATAGAACTATATGTGACAACTAAAATTATAAAGATTCTAAGAAGAAAGCATTAGAAAAACCTTTGTGATCCTAGGCTAGGAAGAGATTACTTAACGAGGAAGCAAAGAACACTAAAAAAAAAAAAAAAAAAAAAAATCCCTAATGACTAGTGATGATGAGCTTTTTTACATATGTTTGTTGGTCACATAAATGTCATCTTTTGAGAAGTGTCTGCTCATATACTTCACCCATTTTTTGATGATATTTCTTTTTTCTTGTAAATTTGTCTTTTATATTCCTTGTAGATTCTGGGTATTAGAACTTTGTCAGACAGGTAGATTGCAAAAATGTTCTCTCGTTCTGTAGATTGCCTGTTCACTCTGATGATAGTACCATCTTATGCCAGTTAGAATGGCAATTATTAAAAAATCAGGAAACAACAGATGTTGGTGAGACTGTGAAGAATTAGGAAAGCTTTTACACTGTTGGTGGGAGTGTGAATTAGCTCAACCATTGTGGAAGACAGTGTGGTGATTCCGCAAGGATCTAGAACCAGATATACCACTTGACCCAGCAATCCCATTACTGGGTATACACCCAAAAGACTACAAAGCATTCTACTCTAAAGACACATGTACACATATGTTTACTGAAGCACTGTTTACAATAGAAAAGACTTGGAACCAACCCAAACGCCCATCAATGAGAGACCGGATAAAGAAAATATGGCAGCCCATATACACCATGGAATGCTATACAGCCATAAAAAAGGATGAGTTCATGTCCTTTGCAGGGACATGGTTGAAGCTGGAAACCATCATTCTCAGCAAACTAACATAGGAACAGAAAACCAAACACTGCATGCTCTCACTCATAAGTGGGAAGTGAACAATGAGAACACATGGACACAGGGAGGGAATCATCACATACCAGGGCCTGTGGGGGTAAGGAGAGGAATATCATTAGGAGAAATGCTTAATGGAGATGATGGGTTGATGGGTGCAGCAAACCTCCATGGCATGTGTATACATATACCTAGGTAACAAACCTGCAGATTCTGCACATGTATCCCAGAACTTAAAGTAAAAAAAAAAAAAAAAAGATAAAAGAGGAAAAAAAAAAAATTTAAATTGGAAAATAATCATTTAAAATATGAAAAAATGAGTGAGGGAAAACACTCCTTACTTCTGAAAAATGATTAATACCTATAATCTATTAAGAGCTCTACCAAAACACAATGGTAAATCACACACACACATATACACATACCTCGGAATGGCTAAAACTAAAATAAAACTCATGGTATATGCTGAAGAAGATGTGGAATTACTAGTGCAATTCCTGTTGGCAGTTTAAAATGATACAGCAGTATCATTTTAAGATTTGGCAGTTATTTTAAAGTTAAACATACAGTTCCACTATGATCCAGTAATTCAACTGCTAAGTATTTATCCAAGGGAATTAAAAACATATGCTCATAAAACAACTTGCATGTGAATGCTCATGACATTTTATTCACAATCACCATTAAGCCAAATGTAAACAAGTGCTCGTCCTAGAAGAACGGATAAACAAGTTTATACATAAACAGAAAGGAACTAGCCACTGATTGACATAACAACCTGGGTGTATCTAACAGACATTTGAGAAGCCAGATATAAAAGAATACATCATGTTAGATTCCACTATTACAAAATTCTAGCAGCAAAAATAATATATGGTGTTAGAGTTCATAAGAGTGGTTGTATGCTGGGAACAGAGCCTGGTGTTGAACTGGCTGGAAAGTGGCATGAAGGAAACATCTGGGGTGACAGAACTGCTCTATATTTGTTGGAGGTAGAGGTATACTTTTATTAAAATTTATCAAGCTGCACTCTTAGGAACTATTATTTCATTGTATGCAAATGGCATTTCAATTGAGAATGTGAAAAACAAAATGAAAGAATAAAAACTCATGTAAAAATATTTTTGAAATAACATCAGAGTTTCTGTTATTACATTTAGGTCTCATCCATTTTGGGTTAATTTTTGCATATGATATATGATAAAGGTCCAATTTCATTCTTTTGCATATAGAAATCCAGCTTTTTTTTTTTTTTTTTAGCACAATTTATTGCAAAGATTGTCCTTTCCTCATTGTGTTCCATTGGTGCTCTTGTAAAAAAAAAAAAAAATCAGTCCACTGTATATGTTTAGATTTATTTCTGAGAAAACATAGGTTCAAAACCTCTGAAGGTTGGCCTTGGTAAAGAATTTTTGGATGTCATACCAAAAGGTCAAGCCACAAAAGCAAAAACAAATAAACGGGACTACATTAAACTAAAAAGCCCCTTCACAGTAAAGGAAACAATCACCAAACTGAAACAACAGCCTCTGGGATTGGGAAAAAAAATATTTGCAAAGCACACATCTACTAAGGGGTTATTATTCAAAATTTATAATGAATTAAGACAATTCAATGGAAGAAAAACATTTAAAAATGGGCAAAAGATCTGAATAGACACTTAATAAAAGAAATCATAAAAATAAACAACAGGTATATGAAAAGATGCTCAACATCGTTAATCAAGAAAATGCAAATCAAAACCACTATGAGATACCACTTCACACTTATCAGGATGGCTGTTTCAAAAAAGTCGAAAGATATCAAATTTTGACATGAGTGAGAAGAAAAGGGTGCGTTTTGTAGACTGCCCATGGGAATGTAGATTGGTATATCCATTACAGAATATTCTATGAAGGTTTCTAAATAAATTAAAAATAGAACTACTATATGACCCAACAATCCCTCTCCTGGGCATATAACCAAAGGAAATAAAAGTCACCTTGTGAAGATACCTGCACTTTAATGTTTATTGTAGCATTATTCATGATACTAAAGATATGGAAACAATCTAAGCGTCCACTGACAGACAAATGGAAAAAGAAACAATATAGTGGAATATTATTCAGCCTGAAAAACAATGAGAACTTGCCATTTTTGCCACAATGTGGATGAGCTTGGAGGACAATATGTTAAGTGAAATAAGCCAGACACATAAAGAAAAATATGGATAATCTCATTTATATATGGAATCTGAAAAAAAAATACTGAGAAAATGAAACCGTTTACCAGGGTTGGGGTGGAAATAAGGAGATGTAAGTCAGAGGATAAAATGTAGGAGATATGTAGGATGAACAAATCTAGAGACAGAGTATACACTGGCAGCCCTCAACCTTTTTGGCACCAGGGACCAGTTGCATGGAAGACAATTTTTCCACTGGT